TCGGCGTTTGCGCCCCTGTGCGCGCGCATCGGGCGCATCCTTGCACATGGCCTCCCTAAAAGTTAGTACCATTGAAACCAGCAACGAAGGAATTCCACTCAGGTGACACCAGATGCTATCAAATCAGAGATTATTTTTATGCACAGCTTCCAACATATGCCTGGCGAATCTTTCGCGACCTGGAATAAATTTGTAGCATTTATTTAAAGAAATGATTGTGGCCCTAACTGGTTTGGCTTAGTGGATAGAGCATGGGTCTGCGGACTGAAGGTTCCCAGGTTCGATTCCAGTCAAGGGCATGTACCTTGGTTGCGGGCACATCCCCAGTAGGGGGCGAGCAGGAGGCAGCTGATAGATGTTTCTCTCATCGATGTTTCTAACCCTCTAACCCTCTCCTTCTCTGTAAAAAAATCAATAAAATATTTTTAAAAAGAAAAAGAAAATGATTGTGGTCTCTATCACCTATTTCTTAACAGCTGTGTTTTTAATTTGTGGAACTAAATTAACTTTCGTTTCCTCCCCTTCTGAATAGGTCAACTTTGCTCCATTTTTATTTGAGGTGTTTCTCTATGCTCCCATTGACGATGAGAGCAGCAAAGCCAAGATTGGGAATGACACTATTGTTTTCACCTTACATAAAAAAGAAGCCGTCATGTGGGAGGCCCTTTCTGTGTCAGGTGGTAAGCTCTTTATTGAAAGATGTTTTTATATTTTATACCTTTGAAAAAATTTGTCTTTTGAAACAAGTATGTTGCTCTTCTAGAAAAAAAAATAGGCACACTATCATGAATTAAATGAGATAGTGCTTCAGCTGCCACTTAAATAACTTAAAAATTGAATGATTCAAAACTTAATAATTACTCTTATTAATAATTACGCACATTAATAATTACTCTTGCCCTGGCCTATTTTGCTCAGTGGTTAGAGCGTCGGCCTGCAGACTGAAGGGTCCCGGGTGGATTCCCGGTCAAGGGCAGGTACCTCGGTGGCAGGCTCAGTAGGGTCCTGGTGTGTGTGGGAGGCAACCAGTCCATGTGTCTCTCCTCCTCCCTTCCATTCTCTCTCTCTCTCAAAAAAAAAAAAATCAATGGAAAAAATGTCCTCCAGTGAGGATTAACCACAAAATAATAATAATGATCATAAAATAATAACTCTTAAGCAGAAAATGTGGGCTTGCATATTCAGTGGATAAGGCCTTCTGGATATGACCTTTATTGAGCACTTATTTTGTACCAGGCATTAACACATCTGCTAATCCTCATAACAACCTATCACTTGGGTACACCCCACTGCCCGCCTTTTTTTAAAGGTGAGGCTACTGTGGCACTGAGGGTTTAGTAGTTGACAAAGGTCACTCAACTAGTAAGTGTCAGGTTGACTACACCTATTTATTGACCCTGAAATGTGAATTTAATTTTATATGTCACAAAATATTATTATTAAATAATAGGGTTTTTCCCAACTATTTAAAAATGTAAAAGTTATTCTTTGCTTTTGTGTTGTAGAGAAACAGGCAGCAGGTTGGATTTGGCCATCGTTTGCCAACCTCTGATATAAACTAGTCAAAACAGTCTTAAAATTAACTTACATAACAAATAATGAACATTGACTTTTACTTCAGAAATCAGATTACAATTTAGTGAAATTATTTCTTTAACAATCTTTTTTTTACATGAATTATTGTGGAACTCCAGTGTATACTCCAAGCCTATTTCCTTCATTATTCAAAACATATGTTTCATTTTTTTCCTTCTTGATACACTTTTCATTTCTTTTAGATGTGGAACATTTTATTTGAAAAGTTGATGTTCTTTTCATTATTTCTGCCCCTGTAGCTGATCCAATTGTCTGCCTCCTGATACTAAGCAGGAGCAGAGTTGGGGAGAGGCTCCAGACCTAATTCTAGCCCTAAGTTCCAGCCAAGACCTTGCATGAATAAAAATTACATACCTTTTACTTACCTCTAACTGAAACTTAACATTCCCTTCAATTGGGAATGTAGATAACAAACAGCAGTACTATCAACAAAAATCACAAATATGTTCATATCACAGGTACCTGTCTTTTATACTCATTTATTTGAAGTTATAGTGTTAGACTTGTTGCTATATATTATTTAATGCATTAATAAAGAAGCATGCAATAGTATATCAGATGTATTTTTTAATATTTGTAAATGTTTTAATGTAATTAGCTTTCTTTGTAATCCTGTGTTGTCTATTTCATGCATTTAAAAACATTATGGCCCGTCCGGCATGGCTCAGTGGTTGAACATCGACCTATGAACCAGGACGTCATGGTTTGATTCCTGGTCAGGGCACATGCCCGGGTTGGGGGCTCAATCCCCAGTGTGTGGTGTGCAGGAGGCAGCTGATCAATGATTCTCTCATCATTGATGTTTCTATCTCTCCCTCTCCATTCCTCTCTGAAATCAATAAAAATATATATTTTTAAAAAGCATTATGAGGGGTCTATAAGGCTTTACTAGTAACTACTCTGCCAAAGGATCTGCCTCACCAAAAAGGTTAGGAACCCCTGCCTAGGACCCACTTCATCCCCGCTCCTCCCTCCACTCTACTCTCCCCCAGGTCACCCTCTCCCCTCAAGTTTCTTCTCCTGTTTTTTTGCCCCTCAAAGTCTAGCTCCTTTCCTGATCCCACTTCCCCTAAGGCAGTGGCCAGCAAACTCCGGCTCTAGCGCAGTTTGCCAGCCACTGCCCTAAGGTAATTTACCCCCTCCCTAATGGGTTGCAGCCTGTGTGTAAAACTCAAAAAAATAATTGTGAATGGTAAAATTCTATATATAACAAGTCGTGTTACTTTATAATTTTTCCTAGGGCTGGCTCTGTACTCATCATATGTGTAAATTACCTTTTATGTTTGTGAAGGTGATTGATCATATCAGATAGTCTCAACTCATTTGTTTTCTAGACCTCATAGTGCTGATTTATTGTGATCAGGTTTATAAGCAAATAGGTTTCTCAACAGAGAGGAGGATATATGTGTTTCTCCTCAACTTGTCTCCTCCCTCTACCTTTCCTTCTCCCTCTCTGATCCCCTCTCATTCTGCTATCCTTTCCCTCTTGTGCCTCTCTGTTCTCCCTCTCTCCCTCCCCGTCCCCCTCATTTCCCCTTTTATTCCCCCCTCTGTTATTCCTCCTCTCTCTCATTCATATTCTCCTCCACCCCCTCATTCTGTAGTAATTACTATACAGTTACTCACTTACCTTTTAATGTTAGCTTCTTGGCCAGTTTAATATTGAGAAACATTTTCACTTCTCTATGTGAAGTAAGGTCCAAAAAATACATCATCCCGAGTCATAATCTTAAGCATTTCTTTCCTAAATAAAACAAATTTATCAGAATCCTAATTTAGTGATATTCCTTATGTTTTAGTTGACAAAGAGATGATGCAAAGAATAAGAGAAAAATCTATTTTAAAAGCACAAGAAAGAGCAAAAGAAGCTACAGAAGCAAAAGCTGCAGCAAGGCGGGAAGATCAAAAATATGCACTAAATGTCATGATGAAGGTAAGTTGCAAGTAGAAAAGTCCTCTAATTAAAGATATGATAATAGACATGTAAGGATAAGTAGTCCTAACCACTATACTTCCTCACCTCTTTGTTCATACTTTGGTCATTGGACTTACTAATAACTAAGTTATATAAGTTATCTACTGCTTACATGTGATCCTGAAAATATTTATGAAAGTTGAGGGTATAAATGTTGAATAATAATAGATTTACTTGTTTCAGTGAGAATTTTCTATTTCCAGGGGAATCAGAAGTGATAAGGTTTTATGGTGTATTTTACCTCTTTCTTAATCTTGGGATAATGAACACAATAATTTAAAGCAAGGAAAAAACTAAATATTGACAAATTAACATCTTTTTAACTGTTGAGGATTTCAAGTTAAAGCTTCAATCAGCAATATTTTTTTGAGATATAATTCACACACCATACAATTCACCCATTTAAAGCTTACAATTCATTGGTTTTTAGTATGTTTAGAGTTGTGCAGGCCATCATCACAATTAATTTTAGAACATTTTCATCACCCCAAAAAGAAACCCCAGCCTAGCTGGTTTGGCTTAGTGGTCAGAGAGTCTACCTGTGGACTGAAGGGACTTGGGTTCGATTCTGGTCAAGGGCGTGTACCTCTGTTGCAGGCTCTATCGATCCCCAGCCCTGGTTGGGGTGTATGGGGGAGGCAACCAATCAGTGTCTCTCTCACATCGATGTTTCTCTCTCTGTATCTGTCTGTAACCCTCCCTTCCACTCTCTGGAAAAATCAATGGAAAAAAATATCCTTGGGTGAGGATTAACATACATACATACATACATACATACATAAGTATTTTTTAGTAACTTGCATAGACTTTAATTGTGGAATCAATCTAGTCTCCCTTGGATATACAGCTGCTGATGTCTATGCTAAGGTTTTTAGTTCATATTTTTTAGACTAACTTCCTTAGAGGGTCTTCCCTTTGTCTGTATAGCTTAATTGTTAGCTAATGATTTGGGCAGAGGTGGTAAAGGCTCCACCCTTTGCCAATTGATGTATGTGTAGGCTTGAGAATACCTTCAAAGTTGGAGCCAGTTCTCATGCCTCCTTGGCTTCATTTTATGCCAGTTTTCCTCAGGTCTTCCCCATAAATACATCGCTTTCAGTTTAGCCAGGGTTGTGTGGTGAGTTTATCACAGGTTTTCTATAGCTCTCATTTATATGATCTTTATGTGAATTTTCTGTCTAGTCAGGCTCTTACCCTAACCAGGAACACAACCTCAGACCTCAACTGCAAATTTTCCCTGTTTATTCATTCCCAACCAAGTCTACTGCTTTTATCCACCAAAGCCACAGGGTTTGGCTGCCCCACCCTGAAGTGGGTCCACCCTTTTTGCCAACAAAACTTCTTTTTTTAAATTTTATTTTATTGTTGTTGTTGCTAGCTTCATGTTGGTAACTGCCAATCTTGTTATTCTAGCTGGAAGTTGGTGGTTGAGAGCAACCTCAGGCAGGAGAGCACAGTCTCCCACTGTTCTTACCTGTAACTTCTGCAGTTTTTCCAAAATAAACACTTCTCAATTTGCAGGCTGTCTTTGGTTAACTTCCAGTGCCTTGAAATGGTTGTTTTTGATAGATTTGTCCAGTTTTATACTTGACTAGAGGCCTGGTGCACAAAATTCGTGCACTTGGGGGGGGAGTCCCTCAGCCCAGCCTGTGCCCTCTTGCAGTCCAGGAGCCCTTGGGGGATGTCTGACTGCTGGCTTAGGCCCGCTCCCTGCCTAAGCTGGCAGTTGGACATTCTTAGTGCTGCCACGGAGGTGGAGAGGCTCCTGCCACCGCCGCTGCGCTTGTCAGTCTGGCTTCTGGCTGAGCGGCGGTCCCCCTGTGGGAGCTCACTGACCACCAGGGGGCAGCTCCTGCATTGAGCGTCTGCCCCCTAGTGGTCAGTGTGCATTATAGCGACCGGTTGTTCTGCTGTTTGGTCTGTTTTTGCATATTAGCCTTTTATTATATAGGATATTTGTAGGTGGGAACTGCCAGCCTCTTCATGCCTCTATAAAACTGGAACATTTTCTTTTGCAGATGAATTTTACATGTATCAGAAGTCTAAGAAGTCCTCTTGGTAGTTTGATTAGATTTATGTTGACTTTAGAGATTCATTTGCCATTAACATATTTACAATAATGAGATTTCCCTCCAGGAACATGGCATTTATTTCCATTTCTTCAGACTTACGTTATATCCCTAGCAAAATTATTTAACATACCTGAGACTTGCTCATCTATATATATAAAAGGCTAATATGCAAAGTATCCCCTCAGGAGTTTGACCAGGAGATCAATCACTCGCTATGATGTGTGCTGACCACCAGGGGGCAGCGCAGAACATGGAAGGTGACCAGTGGCAGCAGCAGTGGCTGGGGCGGGATGCTGAGGGAGCAAGGGAAGGGGGAGGCAGGGGAACCACGCCGTGGCAGCACGTAGGTGGTTAGGGAAGGAGGAGGCGGAGAGTCAGGGAGGTGGGGAGAACCGTGCAGTGGCGGCACGTGGGCGGGCAGAAAGGGAAGGAGGAGGCAGGGAGGCAAGGAACCTGATCGGCCCTGATCGCTGGCCATTCCTAGGGACCCTACCTGTGCACAAATTTCGTGCACCAGGCCTCTAGTATTTCATAAAACTTATTCTTAGCCTTTTTAAGGTTTTTCTGTCAGTTACTAATGAATGATTTTCCACTGTATTTTTCTAATTGTTTATTGCCAGTTTGTAAGTAAGTTTGTTTTTATGAGTTTGTATGAGTTGATCTTGTAAGTGAATTCCTTGCTGAACTTACTTTTTGTTTGCAATAGTTTGTCAGTTTGTTATTTTGGTTCTTTTAAGTAGTCTATCATATTATTTGCAACTAATGACAGTTCTATCTCCTTATAATCCATATTTATATTTCTTATTTTAAAAAATCTATTATATCAGTTATTTCTAGAAAAATAGTAGGCATACTGGCCTTAGTGACGTTGCTAGTAGTATTTCCAATGCTTCTTCATGAAATTGGACATTGTATGGATCCTTTTAGCAAGCTAAATTTTTTCTGTTGTTTCAGGTATCAACTGATATTTTGCCGTGTACTGAGGTCATGTTGTTTTTCCCTTTAGATTTCTTAGTATCATAAATAAGAAACACCCTATTTGATCAAGATCTATTATTTAATATTTTCCTCAGATTAGGGTGCTAATATTTTATTTATGGATTTTTGCATATAGTTTATAAGTAACATCTATAATAATAAAAGCATAATATGCAAATCGACCGGACGGCTGAACAGTAGAATGACTGACCTGACGACCTTCCGGACGAAGCCGGGGTTGTGAGGGCCAAGGCAGCCGCTGGGGTTGCAGCAGCCGGGGCTGCAAAGGCCTACTCTTGCATGAATTTTGTGCATTGGGCCTCTAGTTGGTTTATAAAGAATATTGCCTTGATAAACCATTCATTCTAAATTAAAAGAAATATAGACTTTCTCTTCAGGAATTACTCATCCATCTCCTATTAGTTAAAGTTGCTGTCTGTAGTAAGCTAATATCCCATACTTTATGGCATCCTTTTTTGTCAATGCAAAGAACTTAAAATTCAGTTTCTTCATGTGTGATGATAGTTTTCCTAGCCTTCTGAGTTTTTCTGTTACTAAACATTCTTCCTTTATGTGATATATTCCCCATATTACTTTGTTTTTAAAGAAGAGAACTTCAAGGATTGTTTAACATCTGTCTTTCTTTGTTTCTCTTTGATGTAGATGGTCTCTCTTTCCTTTTATCGTAGCTTTATGGTATTACCTTCCTCAGATTTTTCTCTTCTTTCTAGTTTCTTCTGTCACATGCTCTGTGAAGCCTTTCTTGGTCCCTCCTCTTCCCTTTGACTCCCTCAAGAGTTATGCAATTTTTTTGTTTTTAAGTTAACTTATTACAAATTAAATTACATATATATAAATATCCCTTAACTACATATTGGCTACAATAACAGAACTTGCCTGTTTCTTTTGATTATAAGAATAGTCTCCTTTTTGGTAATTAAGACTGTCTTAGCAGTTTTTAAAACTTCAAAATTCACTCCACTTGCAGAGATTATGAAGAGTGAGGGTGTTCTGACTTTTCACAGACTTTTCCCTTCTTCCATGTGTTAGGGAAGAAAGGCAAACATATTATTAAACTGGGTGAAGTTGTCATCTCCTTTTAGGTGGTGGCTGCCTCTGGCTAACACTGACTGGTCATCATGCCCTGTTGTCAGGCACTAAAAGCTGGCTCATGGTTACATGCAGATTCTTCCTGGCCCAACCTATTGGCAGCTCTTTGAACACATAGTAATTAGCATCTTTTGTGCTTAGTTTAGGCCTGAGGTGCAATTCTGGGACTACAGGAAACTCCTGTTCAGTAATCTGTGAAATGCATTTTAAAGTCAGTGCTACACAGTTCAATAGGAAAATAGCCAATCTTCCAAAAGAGGGTATGGTATTTATTCATGCAGATGTTACAGAGCACTTCTTCAGGATAGTTTTCAAACCAGTAAGTTAATTCTACGTCTTAAAATAATTCAGCCTCTAGGAAACTTGGTCCCAGCTTGTCATTCTTTTGCTGTGCCAGATGTATTATTTAAATGTATATTAATTTAAATGTAAATTAATGAAACATAAAATTAAAAATCACTTTTTTGGTCTTTTTTATCAATTTTCACCCAAGGATATATTTTCCATTGCCTTTTATTAAAATAAAAATGGAAGGGAGAGAGGGAGAGAGAGAGAGAGAGAGATTGATGTTAGAGAGATACATCAGTCAGTTGCCTCTCACATGTGTCCCAACCAGGAGATTGAACCTGCAACCCAGGTATGTGCCCTTGACCATACAAGGGCACAATCGCCAAGACCCTTCGGTGTTCAGGTCAATGCTCTAACCACTGATCACACCGGCCAGGGCCAAACTAGTCACATTTTACATGCCCAATTAGCAACACGTGGTAGCAGCTACTGACTTGGATTGCACAGAACGTTACCATCATCGAAAAAAGTTTTGTCAGACACTGCTTCTCTAGAGGAGAGAGGTATGAATTTTTGTTCTCCAGAGGAGAAAGATGCGAATATTTTTATTTTTTATTTATTTTAATCCTCGTGTGAGGGCATGTTTTTATTTATTTTAGAGAGGAAGGTAGAGAGAGAGAAACATTGATGTGAGACAGAAACAACAATTGGTTGCCCCTATATGTGCCCCAACCGGGGATCAACCAGCGATCAGACCTGCAACCTGGGCATGTTGAATCGAACTGAACCTGAGACCCTTCTCTTTCTCTTTCTCCCTCTCCCTTCCTCTTTCTTGAAAATCAATAAAAACATGCCCTTGGGTGAGGGTTTAAAAAAAAGTTTTGGTAATTGTAATTTTTACAGATTGAAGATGAAGAGAGGGAAAAAATAGAACGTATGAAAGAAAATGAACGGATAAAAGCAACTAAAGAATTGGAAGCCTGGAAAAAACATCAAAGTAAAGCTGAAGAACAAAAAATAATTCAAAGAGAAGATAAGTTACACCAACAAGAAAAGCTAATAGAAGAGGGAAAGAAATTAAAACATAAAAGTTTTCCTAGAAATTCAACATCGAGAAATCTTGCCACAAAAGGTACAATAATTAATATTTTCTGGGAAAGTGAGTCCTGGTGGTGAAGTATATAGGTTGTTGTTGTAATCAATTTACAATATTAGGTCATATTGAGAATAGTATTGAAAAAAAAAAAGATTAAGGTGAAATTTATTTTTTTATTTTAGGAAGTAGTGAAGTTTTTATAAAATGAGCAAGGATTCAGTGTTGATTTTGTCTGTGTGCTTTCTTTTGAAATTTATGCAGGTATTGTTAAATATGTATTTAATTCACATCCAAAAAGTCTTTCAGTGGCCTGGCTGGTGTGGCTCAGTAGTTGGTCAATACTTTGTGATAAGTGCTGCTATTCTTATTTTAGAGGAAATGTTCAGAAAGGATAAACAAATACCCAATAAGTAAGCCTGTGGGATTTGAACCCAGATCTGTCTGCATCTGAAACCTGTGTTCTTTCTACTCAGTTACATGTCATTTCTACTTCAACAGTGAGGTCTAGCATATTGAAAAGTTGTTTGGCATATTAAGCAATAATCATTATTGGGCTTCGACCCATAAAGCAGGAGGTCACAGTTTGATTCATGGTCAGGGAACATGCTTGGGTTGTGGTCTCCATCCCCAGTGTGGGGCATGCAGGAGGCAGCCCATCACTGATTCTCTTTCATCATTGATATTTCTATCTCTCCACCCCTCTCCCTTCCTCTCTGAAATCAATATATATATACACACACATCAATATTTAAAAGTATTGGAGTGGACTGTCAGTGCCAGAGACATTCATTTATTCCTTTAGAGATAATAAACTAGGAATTTTGTTAAAAGACTTTTTCCTCACATGACTCAGGCAGATGAATATTACTAAGCAAACTTAATATCAAGCAAACAAGGGTTCTTCTGGACTTAGATCCTGATGTGTTCAAAAATAGTTAAAAGAACATATTTCTTTATTGAAAGCTAAGTTTGATTTTATCTCAGAATATTAAACTTTGTTTTGTGTATATTTAGCAAATGGAGAATTTTGTAGTAAAATCACTTATGTAATTATCCTATATAATAAAAGCCTAATATGCAAATTATTCCCTCAGGCGGTCATTCGACTGGGAGACCGGGAGTTTGACTGCTCGCTATGACGTGCACTGACCACCAGGGGGCGGCATGCTGGGACCTCTCATTGGCTACCTGGGGGCAGGGGTGATGGAGACGGAGGTGCAGTGAGAATGTGGGGTGTCCGCCAAACTCTCTCTCACTCCCCTTGCTATCCTCCCCTGGAATACCGGGCTTGTGTGTGGGGGAAGCCCCTGTGTTCAGGTGCTGGGCACCCATGAGGAGTCCGCCCCGCACCCACGTAGCCTCTTCTGGGTAAGCCGGGCCGCAGCTGCTGGAACCGCAGGGGCCGGTCGGGCTCCCTGTGCATTCACGCAAGAGCCACTATGCGAGGCCGGCCGGGAGAGAGTGCGCTGCCCGCCTGGCTTCCATGTGGCGCCGCTGGGCAACCCAGAAGCCCACGCTGAGGTGTCTGGCCACACTCATCGCATCTCTGTGTGGCGACTTGAGCACTGTGACTCAGGTAGAGGGGGGCACACGAGGGCCCAGGGGCCCAGGTGCTGCCCAGGGCTCTTCTATAATTGAAACTTTGTAGTCTTGAGCAGAGCTGAGGGCGAGCCAGGGCAGATGGGAAGCTTGGCTTTCTCCATTGCCGGGTGCAACCCAAACCTCCTGCTTGCTCTAGCTCTGTGGCTGCCGCCATCTTAGTTGGGTTAATTTGCATACTCACCCCTGATTGGCTTGTGGGTGTGGCTTGAGGGTAGTGGGAGGACGGGTAATTTACATGTTTCTCTTTTATTATATAGGATTGTGGTTTAATATTTACATGCAAGTTAACTTCTAAAATATCTCCTTCTTTAATGACATTTCAACAAACCATACCAACTAGAGTATATGAAAACATTTTCTTTCATATTTTAAATACTGCTAAACAAACTGGATGTTTTCAAGTACTATTGAAACCCGCCCTAGCTGATTTGGCTCAGTGGATAGAGCATTGGCCTGCGGACCGAAGGTTCGATTCTGGTCAAGGGCACATATCTTGGTTGCAGGCTCCTTCCGTGCTTGGCCCTGGTCGGGGCACATGCAGGAGGCAACCAATCCATGTGTTTCTCTCACATCTGATATTTCTCTCTGTCTTTCCCTCTCTCTAAAAAGCAATGGAAAAATATCCTCGGATGAGTATTAAAAAAAAAGAAAGAAACTAATCAAGTACTATTGGAACCCAAACACACTTTTATAGATAAGAAGTATTCTCAACATTTGATCATGCTGATATTTATACAGTTTAATTCAATTTATGAATATTTTATAAATGATTTTATGTTTATCTTCATATTGAGATTCACTTACATTTTTAAAATTTTTTGAAAATTAAATCTTTATTATCAGATTATTACAGTTGTTCCTCTTTTCCCCCCCATAACTCCCCTCCACCCGGTTCCCACCCC